CTTCTGGGCACGGCTGTCCACGCCGCGGCTGCTGTGGGGGCCCCTCTCAGCGGCTGGTGGCAGTGGTGGCGCTCTCCCGCACCCCCCAGGGCCTGGTGCTAATCCGGCCCCTTGCCCAGGGCCCTCGAGTGTCCCCTGCATGCCTCGAGCTGACCAGGCTGGGGGTTGAAACCAAGGTCACCACTGGGACCCAGCTTTTCTCACTCTTTATTGCCAGAGGGGATGTGTGCTCACTAGAGAGAGAGACAGAGAGACAGCACCCACACTGGGCGTGGGCACCTTGGTCCTTTCCTGCGTTCTCCATCCCGTCAGGACTCAGGGACACGCACATGCTTCCCTGTGCGTTCTTAGCAGCTGGGGTCGGGATTTGAACCACTGACCTCAGGGGCTTCCAATGCCCTGTGCACGGCGTAACCACTGCACTGCAGGACCGGCCTGGGGTGTGCGTGTGGATTTTTATTTAAGAATTACTTACTGGAACCAGCAGGTGGCCTAGTGGTTAAGGCGGTGGAGTCCCTCGTGGCCAGCCATGGTTCGAGTCCCAGACTCGGTCGCTTGCTCTCTCCCTTTCTCATCCTGTCTCTGGGAGCTCCTGTGTCCCGTGGCCGCGTCACAATAACCAAGTAGATTAAATGCGCCGGACCAAGGCCACGGCATGTGTGCACGGCCGGGCTGTCTAGGAGGTGGTGGGTGGTGAGTGTGGACCCTGTCCTGGGGGGCCCAGCCCCACTGTTCAGTACAGTGTCACCCCTGGGCCGATGCTGCCCACGGGACGCAGCGTCACGGCTCCGCCTTGCGCACTGCCGCGTGGAGACACAGTCCCCGCCTGGCCCCGGCCTGGGGGGACGCGGGGGCTCCCCGATACTGTGCAGGCTGCAGCACTCACCCCGGTCTCCCCCACCAGGTTCGTGCTGGCCGTGGGCAGCGCCGTCTTTGACGCCATGTTCAACGGGGGCATGGCCACCACGTCGTCCGAGATCGAGCTGCCCGACGTGGAGCCCGCCGCGTTCCTGGCCCTGCTCAAGTAAGCTGCCCGGGTCCTCTGAGCCACGCCGGGCAGCAGGGCCCCGCCCGCGCCCACCCGGCCGCGGACGCTCCTCCATCGAGCTGCCGGGCGGGGGTGGGCCCCACACGTCTCCCGCTCGCTCTCTGTCCTTTCCATTGAATTGTTTTATGTGCGGTTGCTTGAGACGCCGGACTTCACCTGGCCCACCACGGTTCAAGTCCCGGACCTGGCGGCGTGCTCTGCCTCTCCTGTGAGCGTGCGCGCCCTGCAGCAAATGTAAAACGAGTAATGGGGCCAGCAGGTGCCGTGATGCTATGGTGCTGGCCTTGCACTTGGCCGGCCGCAGTTCGAGTCCTGGAGCCGACAGCCTGAAACACGCAGGCCACGTCTGTGTGTGCACGTGTGTGCACGCGTGTGCGTGCCGCAGTCCTGAGAGAATGGAGGAGCGGGGACTGCAGCGTGGCCATACCCCCGGGGGGTGATTTCTCACTTTCTGTCTCTCCGGTGAGCGCACCTGCATGGTAGCAAAATTCTCTCTTAAAAAAAGTTGAATGCAATGTTTTAAATAATTATTTTATTTATTGTCATCATCACTATTATTTAAGAAATGTCTTTTTATTTAAGAAATATTTGTAACTTTATCTATTTTAATTTGACTAGAGAGGGACAGAGAGAGAGAAAGCGAGAGAGCAAGCTGCCAAGTCTGGGACTCGAACCATGGTTGGCCATGTGGGAGTCCAGCGGCTCTAACCGCCACGCCACTGCCGGCCCCTTGTCATCATTATTTGTTTAATTTGACCAGAGACACAGAGAGAGGGAAAGCGAGAAAGCAAGTCACCAGGTCGAGGACTCGAACCGTGGTTGGCCACGTGGGAGCTCAGCACCTTGGTGACCACGCCACCTGCTGGGTCCACCGCCCCATGGTTTCTAATTTTGCAGTGGTCACCCGCACTCCGTCTCCCGCCCTGCTGGGATTTGGGGCGCCTGTGTGCCGGGGTGGTTCTCAGGCCTCCAGGCCCCGCGCTGGAACCACACGGCGCATGTGCGACCCGGCCGCCACCTCCCACCAGCCCTGGCCGCTCCTCCCCGAGGCCTGGGGCTGGCTCTTCCCCCACGGGCGCGCGTGGCCGCGCCCCACACTCTCCCATGTTCGTTTCCTTTTTTTAAAGTAAAGAAAAAACCAGTTTTTTCCTTTCCTGGGAGACAGACGCCAGCAGGTCCGCAGGCCGTGCCCACCCCCACCGCAGGGTCCCGGCCCCGCTGCACCCAGTGAGCAGGAGGGGACCCTGGGCACCTCCGCCGCCTCCCACCGGCCTCAGGCCCTGCAGCGCGCCCACCCGGTGCACATGGCGCCCGCCCGGCTGTCCCCGCAGGGAGGACTGTCCCCGCAGGGAGGGTTCGGCGGCCT